ATATATATATATATATATATATATATATATATATATATATATACGTTAATGTTTTACGGATGTACTGTAATCTGAGATGTGTGTGTAATTTCTCACGATGATTCCCGAGCTGACTCTACCGCATTTATTAGGTATCGTTAAGGCTCAAAAAATTTTCGCAAAAGTTACTTTTGTATTTTAATAATGGCGCATCAAAATAAAACATTAGTCATATTAAATTTCTTTAACCGATGATTCGTTTCTATTCTTAAAGCTTCTTTACGCGCGATCTGTTGGAACGCGCAGAAACCTCCTCCCGAGACGAAATTTTGATTACATATTCAAATGTCATGCAAATATTGTTGAACTTGAGTAGTAGTACATTCTTAATTTCAACTAGGCTATCACCTTCTTCTCAATAATTCTGTCAAACAGGAATATTAATAAATACATAATAAATAATGTAATATGTAATAAATAAGTGACTCACCTAAGAGCAGATGTCCACTCGCATCCTGGCTTCCTCATCCAGCATCCTGCTTCTGGCTGCTTCGTCACACACAGGACAGTCCCTAGCACTGACACTCACGTAAATACAACAATTACGGTACAAGGAAAACGTATTAATTCCAACGCGATGCCAACCAGAATATGACCGTCTCAAGAACCGCAAAAAATTTGAATCGCCCGACGGGGCTTGCGTACGAATGTGACAACAGGCATCAAGAGACAAACATGCGGCGTGGCGAAGTAAGCGCCGCATGTTGGCTTGCGAACAAACTGTCACGGAAAAGGCGCGCGAGAATGCTAACAGAGTGAAGAAGGAGAGGGGTCATGGGCCGGTCCCGATTTTAGCTGATCCCGATTTCAGTTGGAATGGCTTACAGCGCCTCTAACCAACCGTGCACATAAACTATGTAACCAATATGCACGAATTGTCTCAGTGGGTAAAGAAGTAATGTCCATGATTCTTGATGACAAAGACAGATAATCAACACTATCTGTTCTTGTTTCACCATAGGCGAGAAACAATCGCAACAGTAGACACAGGGCAGTGATAGAAACTTTGGTCGCGAGCAGCACGCATTAGTACGGGAGGGGATACGCACACACTCACGCGACCGTGTTCGTGAGCCTCACGGACATTGTCGCGTGAGTGAGTACGTATCCCCTCCCGTGTGTACGTGCTGCTCGTCAAAATTTCTATCACTGACACAGAGGCGAGTTAGCGGCGGTCTTATCGTTGAGGAAACATCTCGCTATTGACGCATCACGTTACTTGTAATTCCTGAAGAATTTTCAGGTTTACATTTTCTGGCCATTGTAACTGAGGAATCATTTGCATGGGAACACTGGTTTAGATACAAGAAAAGGAAATAATTTTAATTTGAGCATAATATGCAAGCTGTTACATGCCGCTATCATTTATTACTTATTTCTTGATAACTACAAAAATATGAATGTCATTCAAAAAGCACTGACTTTTTAACAGTTTATTCTGTTGACATTAATGTTTTATAATAGTAAGAAATACGTCGCGCTCAGACACTATAAGCTAGCTTCTATTGCTTATTTTCGGCAAAAAGATATTCATTTCGTCCAAAAAGCATTGATTTCGCGACAGTTTATTTTACTGGAATAAAATGTTTGTAATATTACAATTAATACCGTTGCGATAAGTAAAGTGTGGATGGGAGAAATAAGCAGAAAATGCTTTCAGCATATAAGCACTCGACCGCAACGTCGAGACGTACGCGGTTTCCACGCTTTACCTAAAACAGTGGTATTATTCGTAGTATTACAAATCACTAATTTTAATAGAGTGAAGTGTGAAAAAATTAATGCTTTTTGAACGAAATCGATATCTTTTGTAGTTACCGAAATTAAGCAAAAAATGTTTAAGCAGTAAGAACCTGATTGTATTATTTGTAATATTATTTTCCACTCAATTCCAATAGAACGAAATGTGGAGAAGGCAGTGCTTTTTGAACGCAATTGATATCCCGATGAAAAATTTTTCATGCAAGATTTTGTATGAAATTTGTCCATACATAATTATGTATAATTATATATAATCATATAAAATTATATATAATTATACACAATTATGTATAACAATATGTATAATTACATATAAATTTATGCGTAATTATGTAAAATTATATATGAATTTATATATATAATTATGCATAATTATACATAATTATACATAATTATATATAATTATATATATAAGTAGCATGTATAAACATGAATGGACAAATTTGATACATAATAATATATAATTATATATAATTTTATATAATTTTATATAATTATATATGAAAAATTTTTCATTGGGATCTTTTGTAGTTGCTGAAGAAAAAGGAAAAAAATACTAGTGATATATAAATACTTGAATGCAACGTCGAGACTTACGTCCCGCACAGGTTCTTACATACCGCTTATTGCATAATTGCGGCAACTTTCTCCATACCACATTCTGTTGGAATTAGTGGTTTAAGAATAATATTCCTGCTTTAAGTAAAATGTAGAAGCGTGCGTAAGACTCGACGTACGTCACGGTGAGGTTCTTACGTGCCGCTAGCATTTATTCTTTATTTCACAACAACTACAAAAAAGATATCGATGCCACTCAAAAAACACCGACTTTTCTACAGTTTATTGTGTATTGGAATTAGAGATGTATAATTATAAATTAGAAGTTAAAAAATATCGATTTCATTCAAAAAGCACCGACTTTTCTACGCGTTTTTCTCCTACGCTTTACTTAACGCACCAGTAATATTATATTTAAAAACTTCTAATTCCAATAGAATGAACCTTGGAAAAATAAATATTTTTTTAATCACATCGATATCCTTTTTGTAGTTGACGAAAAATAAGCAATAAATTCTAGTGGCATGTCAGGCAAAAGTGACCGCAAAGTCGAGACGTACGCACGCTTCCACGCTTTACTTAAAACAATGATATTATTCGTAATATTATTCGTAATATAAACCGCTAATTCCAATACAATAAAATATGAAAAAGTCAGTACTTTTTTAATGATACCGACATCTTTTATAGTTACAAATAAGCAATAAATGCTAGTGGCATGTAAGAATCTGCCTGCGAAGTCGAGACGTACGATCGTTTACACACTATACTTAACGCACCAGTATTAATTGTACAATTATAAACCACTGTATTGGAATTAACGTTTTTTATAATAATACAATTAATGTCAGTGCCTTAAGTGGAAATGCGCGTATGTCTCAACGTCGCGGTCAGGTTCTTTAACCCTACAGTCGTCGCACGGAGTCTTTAAAAGAATATTATATCCAAAATAATCTTTTCTTATAGTTTATATAAAACCAAAAACCTAATAAAACAAAGAAAATATTATATAAATTTTTATATAAGGATCTTTCAAGATCCCATGCGTCGACTCGTGTTCGAAAAGTAGCGCGACGATTGTAGGGTTAATGCCATTAGCAATTATTGTTTATTTCTCGGCAACAACATATCAATGTCATTCAAAAAGCACTGACTTTTCGACAGTTTATTCACAGACAACATAATGTCTAAAATCGGGACATAAGATGTCTTAAAGATCATCTTTAAGATATCTTTCAGACGATTTACATATAAATGTCTTTAAGGCGTCTTAAAGATTATCTTTAAGACTTCTTATGTCCCGATTTTAGACATTATATTTTGTAGGTTCTATTGTAATTATAATGGTATAATTAATACCGGTGAGTTAAATAAAGTGAGGAACCGCGCGACTTTGCGGTCAGTTTAAATAGCACAGAAAATTCAAAAAGAATTCAGTCATATCCCACCCAGCACGTAATATTATATAATATCACAGTAATATTTCCGTAATATTGTAATATCGCAGAAATATTATTGAAATATTACTGTGATATTATATATATTACGTGCTGTGTGGGATGTGACCAATTCTGAGTTCTTAAGCACCAGTATTAATCGTATTATTATAAACCGCTATTTCCAACAGAATTAAGTGTAAGAAAAATACAGCTTTTCGAATAACATCGATATATACAATGGTTACAGAAAAATAAATAAAAAATTCAAGCTGCAAAAAAGTGACAGTCGACGACGTCGAAATATATGGGCCCTTTCATGCCTTATTTAACGTATCGGTATTAATCGCATTAATATAAACCGCTAATTGCAACAAAATCAAGTGTGGAAAAGTTAATGCTTTTTGAATGATATCAGTATTTTTTGTACTTTTATCGAGAGATAAGCGATAAATTATAGCGGCATGTAAGAGTCTGCCAGATAGCACAGAGAATTCAAAAAGAATTCAGTAGTATGTCACCAATTCCAAGTTCATTTTTACATGCGAAAAGAATTCTTTTCATTAAATTGAACTTTGAAGAACTTTTTTTGCATCTGAAAATAAACTCAGAATTGGTGACATATGACTGAATTCTTTTTGCATTCTTTTTGAATTCTTTGTGCTCTCTGGGCTGACTGCAATATCAAGACCTATGCGCGGTTCCACACTTTATTTAACGCACCGATATTAATTGTACCATTATAAACCTCTAATTCCAATAGAATAAGCTGTTGATGTCATTAAAAAAGAACTGACATTTCCATATTTTATTGTATTGGAATTAGCGATTTATAATAGTACGAATAATACCATTGCTTTAAGTAAAGCGTGGAAGCGCGCGTACGTTTCGACGTCGCGATCAGGCTCTTACACGCCGCTTGCATTTATTGTTTATTTTTCGTCAACTACAAAAGAGATACCGAAGGATTGTTTTATATATAAATTACGACGTTCTAACTAGAATAAATTATTAAAATTTACGCAGTAATTTCGAGAGAGAAAATATGAGAGAGAAAGAGGGGAAAGGAGAGAGGAAGGGAGAGACATGGGGGTGGAGAGACGGAGTCTCACTTATCTATCTATATACATTGGGAAAATGCACGAGTGTGACTCCGCGCATCCACCGCAGACTCGAAACTTCGCTTTTGACCACGTAAAACGTCGCCCCTTGTCGATTACGGTGAGTGACGCGGGAGAATCTCGAGAACTTTCGCTCTACCTTCTAAACTAACCTTCTGTAATTATTCAGCTAAAATCGAGATCAGCTAAAACCTGCCAATGACCTCTCTACTTCTTCTCTCTGATGCTAATCAGCAATGTGGACAAAAATGCTTCACTAATCACAAGCTGCCGTCGCCGACCAATCAGTGACAAGCACACTCGCCTCCACCAATCGCGCCTCCACCATCGCCTGTCAGTCAGTGACGAGAACATTTGCTGGCCGGGAAGTCGCGATAGTTAACTCTCTAGAGACATTTCCTCTCGGATGTCCTTGCTCTTCTCGTGGGAACGAACTTCGTTCAACGAAAAGTACGTGGGAACGATTCCAAATTGAAGACGCAAAAGGATTCGGCCCGACAACGAGTTGTAAGTCAAGAACAACACGATGATCATGCTGCTTTGACGGAGAGACCAGTAAGAGAAGCAACCGAGAGGTGTTTTCGACGATAACGCAAGCGCGCAAGAATGAGGTATTAAATTTGAATTTACTTATGTTTCGCTCACAGAACACACTGACGAATTTAACGAGTAACCGTAACCTTTTAAGTTAATGATCCTTATCGAAATTGACATTAACAGTCTTCTTACAATGCTTGTTTCCTTGCGGCTTTACGATAATCGAGACGAAATTACGAAACTAATCGGTCGCCGTGCCGGCTAAATCCTGCCGAACCTTCGTGGAAAGGGCATCCCTCTCATAAATACAACTGAACTCTTCAATTGTATTTATGATTGTCATGACTGTGATGCGTCATATATAGATCAGACAGGCAGGTCACTGAGCATTCGTATCAAAGAGAACAGAAACCGATTATCATATTATCATACGAATCCTTCAGTGGTCTCACAACACCGTTTGTTAGGCCATGAATTTGATTGGGACTCAGTTAAGATTTTAGATAAAGAGGAGTCATTTTTTAAGCGCTGTATCTCGGAAATGTTCTTCATAAAGAGACAAAAAAAGGAATTAATCTTTCGGATACAGAAGGATTGTACAGGGATTATATACCCATCATTGAGAGACTTTCTGAAAAATAAACATTATTTATTTTTCCTTCATATGTTTTCCTTATCGATTGTCTGGCTACGCTTTATAATTTCGCGAGTAGTTTAATATATAATGCAGCCTTACTGGTGTTTACGACCGTCTTTCGGTTTCCGTGCGGTATATACGCCGTTCTGTTTAATTTGCGTCTGCTTGGTAAGCTTCTAATATTATTAACCTTTGCTTTTGGAACTGACAACATCCATCTTATTTTTAAGGTAACAGTCATCTAATATTCAGTGGCGTCTACTTATTAACGGATTTTTTAATTGTAACTTTAATGTATTTTGACGGATTTTTGTAATAATTTGAAGTTTATGAAGCACTGAAGAGGGTCCAAAAGCGGAACCGAAACGTATACGAATTTTTGCGATTTATATTTATTCTAATAGTGAAAAATTAACGGCACATTTCGGTTTATATTTCGGTTTATATTTATTCTGTATGAATGTATTGGTACTCGGTCTTGTCACTGGCATTAACTCTTATCTGCCCGTTTTTAACTTTGTACTGCATCCCTCTCATCTCTCCTCACTCTCTTGCCCGCGCTCTAAACTCAAGATATCGGACTATCCGCTAAACGCGTGTTCACGCTAATATGAGTTATGTCGTGCGCAACATACATGTGTATATTATATTGTTTTATATATAAATTACGACGTTCTAGCTAGAATAAATTATTAAAATCTACGCAGTAATTTCGAGAGAGGAAATATGAGAGAGAAAAAGGGGAAAAGAGGGAGCAAGAAAGAGAAGGGTGGAGAGACGGGGTCTCACTTATCTATTTATATACATTAGGGAAATGCACGAGTGTGACTCCGCGCGTCCACCGCAGACTCGAAACTTCGCTTTTGACGACGTAAAATGTCGCCCCCTGCGGATTACGGTGGAGAGAGACGCGGGAGGGTCTCGAGAACTTTCGCTGTACCTCCTAAACTAATAGCGTGTTCGACTGACCCTGGGTTAATCGCTCCGAGAACGATTAATGACGTCATAAGTTTCTGCTAGCCAATCATAAAGGCCATCACACACAAAATTCCGTAGCACCGTCAGCCGTAAACGTAAGAAAATCGACCAGTCCTGATGTTGCCACTATCCCCATCACTTTTGTCAGTAAAACTTAACCGTAATGTCAAAAAATATCACAAGGATGATATTCTTACGGTATACGTCGTTCTGTCAACCAATCAGAGTTTATGGGATTTGTGCTAAAATTCGATGCCAAGTTAAGAAGGTTATGTGTCTCCTGCATCAACCGCGTCTGTCACAGTGAAATAATGAGTGATCATAATCAGTATTGTAATACAATGTTTAATGAATTAGAAAATGATGAAATAACGACAATTGACAACGACAAATTTAAAGAAAGTGATAAACTACTCATTGATGTAGTGAGAGCATATCCACATTTATATAATCATCAAGATCGTAATTTTAAAGACAATTTGATGAAAGAAAATTCATGGAGGGAGATATCCTTAGCAGTGAACTTACCAGATAAATAAATGTTATTAACAAATTATAATTATTATATATTATCCATTGGTTTCTTTACTTTTTCTGTTTATTTTATTATTTATACTAATAATAAAATGTACCAATGACTATAGTTTCTGATTGTCAAAATCGATAGCTGAGGCTGTGTGAACGATTTGGAAGAGAGAAACGTCAACGAGAATTAGATTCAAGAAGTGGCAGTGGAGTTTGTCGACGAGCTGTTTTCGCATATTATGAAAATATTTATTTCTAAATGATCACATTAAGAAAAGAAAGTAAGTTTGTGGTTCGTAATTCGAATCAATTTTCTACATCTTGCTATTGCACAGTTTTCTGTATTATATTGTATTTCTTTTGTTGATCCTATACAAATTTGTGGATCATCTTTTATTTCTTGAAGTAGATGACAAAAATCGCCCAGATGAGGACGCATACAATTAATTAGTCGGATCCACCACTGTTGATTCTGCTACCTTCGTGATCTCTTCCTTCGTAATAAAAGTACATCCATGACCACAACCAATATTGCCGCAAACATTAGATCCTCTTTTCCCATTATTTTGCAGCTTTAACTTTAGTGGATGACCTACAGAATAGTTTTGTTTGTATAAATGTTAAATCATTTTTCTATTTTTCTTTAAGTTATATCTATTGTATCTATTATATCTATTTTATATCTATTTATATCTTTTTATATTTATTTTATATCTATTTTTATTATATCCATTTTATATCTATTTTGTATCTATTTTCTATCTTATTATATCTTTCTTATTTTTCTTTAAATTATTTTAATATTCAAATATTTAAGTGAATTGCATAATAATATTAAATTTGCAATTCAATAGGATTGTCATTAAACTATTTAAAAAAAATACTGTTTAGTGTGATAAAACTACAAAATTCATACACTTTTAGGTTAAAATTTCTTAAGTAGGAGGGAGCTTTTTCTTGTTCGTCAATGATTAAACTTTATGTTTTACGTCATGTGTGTGTCATGGATTTTGCGTCTTGTGCCTTAAGTTTATGGCTTACGGCGCTACGGAATTTTGTGTGTAATGGCCTTAAAGCTTATAAGTACTTGTTCGACCAATAAACGAAGGTTGAATAACCCAGAGTGGGTTAACCCAAAGCCAGACGGACATACTATAAAATGCGTTCACTGACGCGACGCAACGCAATGCGCGCGTTGTGGCAGTGGATCGTTCAAAACTCACTGATTAAGGCAATTGGGTACGCCTCGAGCGAAAAAAAAGAGGGAAAAAATTGGGAATACGTGTTTTTTGCGAGAAAGGACACTTCGCGGATCAATTGGCTGGGTTGAGGTCCAGCTGAGCGATTTATTGTCTCGTTTACATCGAACGTTTGATATTAAGCAAAAATATACAGCAAAAATGCCGAAAATACAGTCTAGAAACGTTCTAAAGATGTGTGATATCACATATTTCTAAGATGTCTCTGAGATGTATTTTGAACATTGTATAGAAAATAGTAACTTTCTATCAAATAATTTTAATATTGACAAAACATGTCAACGACAATGTTTTCAGTCGATACATCTTCTTGATGAGTATTATACTATAATAGACCGTTATATAATACATACATTGTCGACATTGAGATTATTTAATAGAAAGTTACTATTTAGTTTCAGTCGTTCGAAACGATATCGAACGTATATCGAAAGTTACTATTTAGTTTCAGTCGTTCGATGTAAACTAGGCATATATGACACTCGGTCGGGAACAGTCTTCGTCTCGGTCGAATAAGCATTATCGTTATAATCGTCATCTTTTCTTCTCTATCTATCAAGGCTTCACAACCGCGAAGTCGACTCCAGTGAACGATGATTCGGCGAACCGTTTCTCGACCTATCCGACTACAAACTAACTTATTCAGCACGATAACATCGCCGCTCTTTGATGATGCGACAATATAATTGCGTGAAATTATTCGCCAGCGATAGCGTCTATATTTTTCACTTCACTGATGTCTCGCGCTCCGTCGAGAGAAAGAAAGAGGGAGAATCTTTTTGCGACTCGTTAAAAATTCAAACGACTCGATCGTTCAACGAATGATAACACGTGCGCATTCAATTGATCGAAATCGAACGGCGATACGTGGGTGTTTGTAATCTCCATCGGCAGCAAGGGTAGGGGTGGATTCGCACCTCTACTCGCTACCAAAAAGTAATATTGTTGGAAAATAACGTACACGAGTATAAAAAAGGCTGAAGATCGGGTAAAAGTGCATTGCGCTTTTAGCGCTCTATCGTCCAAAAACTGGATGAGACAATACGCTCGCCTAAAACTTTGAGTAGTTGATGGAGAAGATTCTACTGAAAAACGTAACTATAAAGTTAACAGCTCGACAAAGACCAACCCTCGATCGCGTGAGATATAACGTAACGCGGATTTCGCTATCGATAAAAAAAAGACATCCTCGTCGTTCTCGTTGTCGTCGTCATCGTCGTCGTCGTCGTCGTCACTGCCGCTTGAGGTAAGCGCATTATTATAGATCGTCTTCTGCGTCTGCTCGCACAAATGTTTCCTTGTCCGAACGAAGGGGCGAGGCAGTATCTTTCCTCAGTGTTTTCTCGTGTGTCATCTGGCGCTCTAGAACGGCTCTCGTGAGCAGCAAAGAACGCAGATTGAGAGAATCACGGGCCCCCAGAAGAGAGATACACAGACAGGGTATTCGTGAAGTAGGGTGATAACTTTGACCTCACTTGGAACGGAGAAGTTCATCACAACAGAGCAGAGGTATCTATTAGGTGGTAAACTTAGTTCCTGCGGTTTAATTTGTGTGGTGCCCATTTTCCCTCCTTTTGAATTTTTCCCATTGCATGTAGACGTTTGGAAACAGCCATCGGAGTAACATTTAATGCTGCAGACAATTCTTGGAGCGTTTGAGTAGAGTTTTCGTCCAATAATGCCTGCAAATCGGTGTCTTCAAACTTTTTCGGTTGGCCTGAGCGTTCTTTATCATTGACATCAAAATCACCACTCTTAAATCGCTGAAACCATACTTGGCATGTTCTTTCCGATGGAGCATAATTGCCATAAGCTTCGAAAAGCAATTTATGAGCTGCAGCTGCAGTTTTTTTCAAGTCAAAGTAATGAAGCAGCACATGTCAAAAAAACAACTTATCACGTTCTATATCTAATCAAAAGAAAAAATAGCACTGCTCGCTTAAATGAATCTCTTCGCACTGAATTTTATTGACAAATGTCTAACCTCTAAAATGCAGCCAGTTTCAGATGTCAAAATAAATTACACCTACAACTAACGTCATCTAACTGTGAGCCGCAGGAATTAAGTTTACTACCTAATATCACGGGCGCCTCATCCGCCATTGTGGCTCGACGACACATCGCAGTTCATGCGTTGTCCACGCGCGTGTCTCAAATCAAATAAGACAAATTCAGAGTACCGAAACTCCATTCGGTCTCTGACGCTATTCCAAACTAGAAATTATTCAATGTGCTGTAATGACTCCTGTACACAGGACGCGGTAATGCTTGCCGCGCGACGAAAGTCCGCGCGACAGCCAATCAATATGTTGTTTTTCTCTAAAAGCTAGAAGGTTATTACGCAAAGTAGCATATTGATTGGCTATTGCGCAAACTTCCGCCGCACGGCAAGCATTACCGCGTCCTGTATGCAGGAGCTATAAGACCATAACGTAACCACATTCATAGCGGAGAGACAGTGCCTTACAACCACTGGGAGATGTCTCAGGTCAACTCGAAC